GCAATTCTTCTGCCTCAGTCTCTCGAGTAGCTGGGACTACAGGTGCGTGCCACCATACGTGGCTAATTTTTGTATTTTTAGTAAAAATGGGGTTTCACCATATTGGCCAGGCTGGTCTCAAACTCCTGACCTCATGATTGACCCACCTCGGCATCCCAAGTGCTGATAAATATAATTTTTTTTTTTTAAGTTTTTAGAGATGGGGTTTCACCATGTTGGCCAGGATGGTCTCGATCTCTTGACCTCGTGATCCGCCCGCCTTGGCCTCCCAAGTGCTGGGATTACAGGCGTGAGCCACTGCGCCCGGCCATAAATATAACTTTTAAAAGAATTCTAAGCCAGGTGTGGTGGCTCATGCCTATAATCCTCGCACTTTGGGAGGTTAAGGCAGGAGGACTGCTTGAGCCCAGGAGCTTGAGACCATCCTGGCCAACATGGTGAAACCCCGTCTCTACTAAAAATTAGCAAGGCATTGTGGCACACACCTGGAATTCCAGCTGCTTGAGAGGCTGAGGCAGGAGAATCACTTGAACTCTGGAGGCAGAGGTTGCAGTCAGCCGAGACTGCACTCTAGCCTGGGAGACAAAGCGAGACTCCATCTCAAAAAAATAATAATAATTCTACCTTTTAAAACTACTTACTAAAATGTACCTACATGAATTACGATTTTGGGTATCTGCTTCAAAATAATTGAGTGGATTGTAACAGAAACAAAAATTGACAAGTGGGACCTAAGTAAAGAGCTTCTGCACAGCTGACACTATCACAGCAAGAGAGAAAAACAGACAGAAAAACATAAAAACAGACAAGCCACTGAATGAGAGAAAGTATTAATACCTGAAGCTATGCATCTGACAAAGGTCTGAAATCCAGAATGTATAAGAAGCTTAATAAGAAAGAAAATAACCCCATTAAAAAGCGAGCAAAAGGACATGAAGACACTTCTTGAAAGGAGACAGACAAGCGGCCAACAAGGAGGTGAAAAAAATGCCTAACGTCACCAGCCATCAGAGGAATGCCAATCAAAACCACCATGAGACACTATCTCACACCTGTCAGAGTGGCTTTTATTGAAAAAGAAAAAAATAACAGAAGCTGGAGAGGCTACAGAGAAAAGGAAAACTGAAACACCATTGGCGGGAATGTCAATTAGTTCAGCCATTGCCGAGGGCAGTTTGGAGTTTTCTCAAAGACTAAAAACAGCTACCATCGGACCCAGTGACGCCATTACTGAGTATGTACCCAAAGGAATAAATCATTCTACAAAAAACATATATGTTCGTCACAGCACTGTCAACAATAGCAAAGACATGGAATCAACCTACGTGCCTATCAGTGGTGGACTAGATAAAGAAAATGTGGTATATACACACCGTGGAATATTAGACAGCCATAAAAAAGAACAAAACTGCGTCCCTTGTAGCAACATGGATGCAGCTGGAGACCATCATCCTAAGTGAACTAACACAGGAACAGAAAACCGAATACCACATGTTCTCACTTATAAATGGGAGCTAAACATGTGGTACACAGGGGCAGAAAGATGAGAACCACAGGTGCTGGGACTACGAGAGTGGGGAGGGGGACAAGGGCTGAAAAACCACCTACTGAGTACCATGCTGACATCAGGGTGACAGGGTCATTCTTGTCCCAAACTCGGCATCATACAACATACCCATGTAATGAATTTGCACAGGTACCCTATAAATCTAAAATAAAAGTTGAAACTATTTTTAAAAATAATTTTTTTTAAAGTGAGTAGAGGACACAGATGAAATGGGAACAGCTGTGAGCTGGTAGCTTCTGAGCTGAGGATGTGTGCATTCTGAGGGGTCATCAGGTGACTCTTCCCACTTCTATGTATATTAGATTATTTCCATGAGAGCTATTTTAAGGAAAAATCCAATTAGATATACTGCTGACTTTTCAAGAGAAACAGTGCAAACCAGGAGACAAAGGAATGACACTTTTGAAGCTGTGAAAAAATGAGAGTCAAACCAGAATTCAATTAGCAGCACAAATATTCCCTCAGGAATAAACACGAGCTAAAAGCACTGTCAGACGAACCAGACACAAAGCCTGTCTCCAAGTGATCCATATTAAAGGCAACACAAAAGCATTCTCCAGGCAGTGACGAAAGAATCTGGTGTGGTGCAAGAGAACTGCCGCAAAGGCCCGAGGGTGAAAACCGCTATGCGGGTAAGAGGTGGGCAGCCAGGCACTCAACTGTTTCGGGCGCCTCTGCCTTTAGGCTCTCCAGTGGAAGAACTAAAAGCCATAAATACAGACACACCGACATGCCTGCGTGTATGTGAATAAAAGCCATGAGATCACACTGATGCCGCCAACTCTGCTCTGAGATCACAGGACTGAGCCTCCCCCTTTCCCAGACACCTCTGGGAGGCTGGGCTCCCACTCCCTCCCCTGCAGATTTACTCATTTGCTCAACCCTACAACACACACATGAAGTAGCTGTAGAATTACTAACCATACCACCAAGAAAACAAGCCTTCTAACTGGGGATGACAATTAGTTTATAATTTTTTATCTTCGTACTTGAAGGTATATAATCAAAGCATTGTGTCCGTGAGTTTCCTTGGTCAATTTTCTTTTCATTCTTCTTCTTCTTTTTTTTTTTTTTTGAGACGGTGTTTCGCTCTTGTTACCCAGGCTGGAGTGCAATGGCGCGATCTCGGCTCACCGCAACCTCCGCCTCCTGGGTTCAGGCAATTCTCCTGCCTCAGCCTCCTGAGTAGCTGGGATTACAGGCACGCACCACCATGCCCAGCTAATTTTTTGTATTTTTAGTCGAGACGGGGTTTCACCATGTTGACCAGGATGGTCTCGATCTCTTGACCTCGTGATCCACCCGCCTCGGCCTCCCAGAGCGCTGGGATTACAGGCTTGAGCCACTGCGCCCGGCCTCATTCTTCTTTTTTGTCGGAGGAGACAGCCTCGCTCTGTTGCCCAGGCTGAAGTGAAGTGGCACAATCTTGGTTCACTGAAACCTCCATATCATGGGCTCAAGTAATCCTCCCACCTCAGCCTCCTGAGTAGCTGGGACTACACATGTGCGCCATCACCCAGTTAAGTTTTTGCATTTTTTGTGGAGACAGGGTTTCACCATGTTGCCTAGGCTGGTGGTCTCAAGCTCCTGAGCACAAACCATCCACCCGCCTCGGCCAGTTTTCTCCCTTAAGTGTAGTTATTTCACTCATTTGAAATACAGTAGGTTCATTTGTTTGTAATACCACCTAGATTTTATGTTTTTGGTTTCCTCAAATTTCTCAATAAAAGGAAAACTAGAACAGTAAAACCACAATCCTCTGACGTTATCAACAACAACAAAAGAAGACTGACAAGGTTTTTCCGTTAAACACAAAATATAAGTGGAAGGGACAAACCATGAATGAGGTCGAGTACAAATCCGCAACTTTACAATGGTGTGAAAGCTTCAGGCACTCAGCAGAAACTGTACTTTGAATTCTGAATTTTGATCTTTTTCTAGGCTAGCAACATACAGTGGGATACTCGTACATGAGATACTCAACGCTTTATTACATAATGGGCTCTGTATCAGGTGATTTTGCCCAGCTGTAGGCTAATGTTAAGTGTTCTAAGCACATTTAAGGGAGGCTAGGCTAAGCCATGATGTTCAGCAGATTAGGTGTATTAAACTTATTTTTAACTGAGGACATTTTTAATTGATGATGGGTATATCAGGATGTAAGCCCCACTGTAATCGGGGCGTATATGGCATCAGATCTGGATAGCTGGAAAAAAAGAAGTTACCGAGCGTGTAACACACTGATAATCCCCAAGTAGATAACAGGTCTCACTGGACGGCCCAAGAACCAAGCTACCAGCACGGATGACTTTCTGCACATCAGCAAAGCAGAGAAGAGTCAGGGTCCAAGAGCAGATACGGGGCAAAACAAAACAGCTGACACATCTTTCCAGGGCAAAAACTGACATGAAAAGAAGCTGCTGGCCCTACCAGACCATCCAGAACTAGACAGAAAGTTGGCAAGAACAGAGAAGACTTGAGCAACACTGTCAACCAACTGACCCAGCAGACACACCGGAGCATGTGACCCACACGCCGGAGCACTGCACCCACCACCACACGGCACACACGCTTCCTCAGGTGTTCTGGAACATCCCACAGTATAGACCACATGCCAGTCCATTCAATACGCGTTAGGGAATTCAAAAGGACTGAAACTATACAAGTGTTCTAAACACAATGGAGTTAAATTGTAAAGCAAAAAAAAGAAATCTGGGAAATAGGCAATTATTTGGAAATAAAATACAATTCTGAATAACTCATGGGTGGAAAAGAAACTGTGAGGGAAACTGGAAGGTATTTTCAACTGAATGACACTAAAAATACAACCCACCAAATTTATGAGATGCAGCTAAAGTGGTGCTTAGTGAGAAACTTAAAGCTGTACATACTTGTATTAGAAAAGACCTCAAGTGAATGAGGTTTTCACCTTAAAGAAAAACACTAGGGAAAAAAACGTAAACCAAAGCAACGCAAGCCACAGAACGCAGGTGACCTCCCGAAGGCGCAAGATTTAAGAGCGTGCATTTCCCCCAGAGCCGCCACAAAGGCAGCCCGGCCCACCAGCATCTTGACTTAGCCCAGTGAGACCCACATCAGATCTGTGACTCCTAATTTCTGTTGTGCGAAGCCACCAAGTGTGTAGTAATATGTGAAAGCAGCACTAGAAAACTCATACAGTAAGCAACAGAAGAGGATTCAGTCAAATCTCACAAAAGAATATGAGAAAAAATAAAGAACAGGAAAATATCACTGCAGATAATGAAATATGCTCACAGCAAAACGTGACCTCAAATTAAATGAAAACGGTAACTGCTTATTCCAAAGAAACTGAAGAAATTAAGAAAATGATATAAAGAAACAACGTAAATCAGGATAGAAAAACTCTGATATGAGATTATAGATCCCACAAAAACATAAAAAATAAAAGCAGGCCAGGCGCGGTGGCTCACGCCTGTAATCCCAGAATTTTGGGATGCCGAGGTGGGCGGATCACAAGGTCAGGAGTTCAAGACCAAACTGGCCAATATGGTGAAACCATGTCTCTACTAAAAATACCTCTCACGAGGTCAGGAGTTCAAGACCAGACTGGCCAGTATGGTGAAACCCTGTTGTCTCTACTAAAAATACAAAAAATTAGCTGGGCATGGTGGCATGCATCTGTAGTCCCAGCAACTCGGGAGACTGAGGCAGGAGAAGTGTTTAAACCCAGGAGGTGGAGGTTGCAGTGCGCCGAGATCACGCCACTGCACTCAAGCCTGGCAACACAGCAAGACTCCATCTCAAAAAAAAAAAAAAAAGGAAAATGTGACTTCAAGAATAAAGACCAAAAAGAGAAGAAACATGAGAATAAAGAAACTCCACAGATGACAGCTTTAAGATAAATGAAGAGGAAACAAAATTTTTTAATGAAAAACAAATGAAGGGATTAAAAAAGACTCAAGACAAAGACCAATTTAAAAGACAGGTAAAGAAGATCCAACATATGTACAATCAGGACAGCCACCCCGGAAACAGGAGGGGACAGGGCAAGAGAACAGAATACTAAACACTTAAAACACTTTCTGAATTAGAAATTGCCAAATCATATAGTGAAAGGGACTGAGAAAACCCATCCTCAACTAATAACACTAATTTATTTTCTAACAAAATTACTAGACTTGAAAGAAATTCTTTGGGTTGTCAGGCAAAATACAAAGTCACTTGGGAAGAAAAAACTGTTATGATTTAGACAGCAATGCTTTATTATAGAAGACCATAGAATATCATACAGTATTTAAGATATTCAAGGACAAAAAGTGAACTGGCCAGGCACAGTGGCTCGCTCACACCTATAATCCCAGCACTGGGAGGTGGAGGTGGGAGGACTGCTTGAAGCTGGGAGTTTGAGACCAGCCTGGACAAAATAGTGAGATCCGAGCTCTACAAAAATTTAAGGAGAAAAAATAAAGGGGGAAAAAAAAGAAAATGTAAACCAAGGACTTTGTACTAAGCCAAACTGACCTTCAAGCACAATGAATGAGGAAAAACTATCATCAACATGCACGCAGTCGGGAAGTCTTGTTCCACGAGCCTTTCCTGAGAGATCTACCCAGGAAGAGCAGGGTAGAGAGAAACAAGCCTCAACTGAAAAACAAGAGAAACATGAGGACCCAATGTGAGCACTTATTTTTATATTTAGAGACAGAGTCTCGCTCTGTTGCCCAGGCTGGAGTGCAATGGCGTGATCTCTGCTCACTGCAGCCTCCGACTCCCAGGTTCAAGCAATTCTCCTGCTTCAGCCTTCCAAGTAGCTGGGACTACAGGCGCACCATGACGCCTGACTAACTTTTTTGTATTTTCACCATGTTGCCCAGGCTGGTCTCAAACTCCTGAGCTCAGGTGATCCGCCTGCCTCAGCCTCCCAAAATGCTGGGATTAGAGGCATGAGCCACCGCACTCAGCCCGTGTGAGCATTTAACACACACCATCACGTGCTGCACAGCAACACCTCAATCAGCAAACAGCAGTATGCCCCACAGCGGCTCCGTAAGATGAGAATGCCATCTGTTTACTGTGCCTTTTCTGTTTGGACACACAAATACTTGACATCATGTTACACACGCCTACAGGAGTCAGTGCAGTAACTGCTGTGCAGATGCACAGGCTCAGAGTGACAGGCTACACCATCTCGGTTTGTGAACCCGCACTCTTACACGAAGTTCACACGACATCATCACTGACTAACGCACCCCTGCCCTTAGTGAGAGCTGGGGCTGCAGTCACTTCCAGAGCTAGGACTGAACAAGGGTTTGCGGGGAGGAAACAGCACAATGGCTGGACTCTGTGACTTCCGACTTCATGGGGGGCTCATGGGGACAGAAGCCCAAGGTCAGTCAGGAGCATCTGGATTTAATGATGGTTTGACTTACAATTTTTCAACTTTATGATGGTTTAATCAGGGTTTTGTCTGTTTTTTTTTTTTTTTTTTTTTTTTTGAGACAGGGTCTCACTCTGTCACTCAGGCTGGAGCGCAGTGCACAATCTCAGCTCACTGTAGCCTCGATCTCCTGGGCCCAAGTGATCCTCCCGCCTCAGCCTCCTGAGTAGTTGGAATGGCACCTGATGCCACCCCACCTGGCTCATATCTAAAAACATTTTTTGTAGACAGAAGGTCTCACTATGTTGCCGAGGCTGGTCTCAAACTCCTGGGCTCAAGTGATTCTCCCACTTCAACCTCCCCAAGTGCTGCTGGGATTACAGGTGTGAGCCATCACACACTACGCCCAGGCTCCAAGCAGGTGTTCAGAGCATTTTCGACTTTGATGGGCTTATCAGACGTGGCCCCACCCTGAGCTGTGGCGCATCTATGGTAGGTAATGGCTCCCTGCTCTGCAGCACAGACCTGCACAACCACACAGAATGGGAAGACTTAGGCAAAAAAATCTTCTCTGTTTTCAGTAATGATATAGGTGGCAGTAGTACTGCAGTTGTTATTTTGAGATTGTGATGTTTGTAGCAAGAGATAAAGCACATGAGACATTATGCGATATTCCAATTCTCTCATCTCCATTGTCCTTGGGAAGCAAGACTCTGAGTGGAAAAAGAGGCCAGGATGTAAGATGAAAGCACGGCCAAGTGAAGGAAGGCCCTGCTGACAGAAAGCAGACCACACACTCCAGTTCTGCCTTCTGCCCCCGCAGGGGCCCAGAGCCCACCACCACCTGCTGACAGAAAGCAGACCACACACTCCAGTTCTGCCTTCTGCCCCCCGCAGGGGCCCAGAGTCCACCGCCAACCCCACAGGAGTGAGCACCTCTCAGCCAGACTGTGGTTTTGAAACATCACTTCCAAGCCATTAAAAGAAACCAGAGCTGAAGAAATGGCTTATTTCAGGTCCGGAGCAGGAAAAATACAAGATGAGCCTAGAACATACCAAACAGCAAGAAACCTCTGAGAAAGTACACAAAGGACGTCAAAAGGATCCAGGAGTGAGCTTGTAAAGGCTCCTACTGTCCAGAGAGGACATAATTTAACACCCCAAATGTGTTTAAATTCATTAGTTCATCAATACCAACATAAAATCCCTAAATGGTCACCTTCAGAGGCTAACAGGAAAATGATTCAGTATTGTGAAAACTGACGAATTTTAAAAGAATCGATTTTCTCCATGAACTATAATACCAGTGAGTAGGTAAGAAGAGGTTTCTCTTTAATAGTTCATCTACTAATAAAGAAGCAATAACTCAGCCAGATCACACTTTTTTTTTTTAAGACAGAGTCTGGCTCTGTCACCCAGGCTGGCGTACAGTGGCACAATCTCAGCTCACTGCAACCTCTGCCTCCTGGGTTCAAGCAATTCTCCTGCCTCAGCCTCCTGAGTAGCTGGGATTACAGGCACGCGCCACCATGCCCAGCTAATTTTTTTTGTATTTTTAGTAGAGACAGGATTTCACCATGTTGGCCAGGCTGGTCTCCAACTCCTGACCTCAAGTGATCTGGCCGCCTTGGCCTCCCAAAGTGCTAGGATTACAGGTGTGAGCCACGGCGCCTAGCCAATAACATCACATTTTGTCACTTTTTATGAATTAACCAGAGTTCTTTGCATCAGTGGCTGCCAGCCTCAGAAAGGAGAGGCATCCAACCACTTGGTGCCTTCCAATGGAAGCACATAACACCCCCAAAAGAAGTCCTGCCAGAGGTCAAACCTGAATGTGACCAAGCCTCCGGATCCAACCAACAGCTTACAGGAGGCTAGGCGTGGTGGCCCAGGCCTGTAACCCCAGCACTTTGGGAGGTCGCTTGAGCCCAGCTGGGCCACATAGTGAGACCCCATATCTACAAAACATGTCTTAAAAATTAGCTGGGTGTGGTGATGTGCACCTGTGGTCCCAGTTATTAAGGAGGCTGAGGTGGGAAAACCGCTTGAGCCTAGGTGTTTGAGGCTATAGTGAACAGAGATGGTGCCACCGCACTCCAGCCTGAGCCACAAAGCGATACTGTGCCTCAAAACAAACAAAACAAACACAATCTACAGGAAATCAAAGGATAGAGGAACACATTGGGCCTCACCAGAGGAACGGAGCCAGCAAACTCTAGAGTGTGAGATGCCAAGTCCAACCACCAAATAGTTTCCACGGGAGGTGGGGTGGCTAATGCAGCCTGTAGATCAGCCAGGCACGGTGGCTCACGCCTGTAATCCCAGCACTCCTGGAGGCTGAGAGGGCGGATCACCTAAGATTGGGAGTTTGAGACCAGCCTGACCAACATGGAGAAACCCCGT